TTGAAATGTAATAAATTATGTTAAAGAACTAACTTAAAGGCATTTTTGTATTTTTTAGAAAATAGGGTTAAATCAAAGGTAAATTGGACAAAATGAAGCAAGCATGGGAAGGAAACAAAAGTCTGCTTTTAAGAGCTAAGTTATGCTCATAACAAGGCTCGTAATGCTTAGAATCATAAAGGTCATTATATTCCTGCTATATTACGAGCACCATTACACTCGTATAGGAGCTTCATAGCGGAGAGCATCAGAAAGCCAGTTCTGCTACTGCGAACGGCATTATGCACGTAACAGACTTCGTAACAAAGAGCATCAGCAACTCATTTATGCTGCTATAAAGGGCGTTATGCTCGTCACAGGCTTCGTAACCTAGGTGTATCCGAGAACTATAAAAGGGAAATGTTAGATTTTTTGGGAGAGCTTTTTCCACTTTTCTTAGGTTTCTCATTTTTTATTTGAATAGTATTAACTCTATTACAATGCAGTATCTGTTCATAACTACTTTCTCGATCTACCTATTGAAGCACAGAGAGTCAATAGCGACTCTACTGAGGCTCAAACCCACAACTTTCTATGTGGGAGTTCAACTTGGTACCATTGGACCACAAGATCCTTGGTAAATATTTCCTTAGAATAGCGTTAGACTAATTTTCCCCATTTTACTTTTCAAACACCTTTAGATTCAAATACTTGTTAATTTCCATTTCAAACTACAATCAATAGATAGATTTGCTTTCAATTTCAGTATTGGATCAAGCATTGAAGCTTTCAATTTCAAATAGATAAGTTCCCCTTCATTTACATTTCTTGCAATTTGCTTTGTACTTCAATTACTTTGCTTTGATATCTTGTGCTAGTTATGGTTTGTGCTTTTGTTATTGAATTCATTGCCATTTTCTCTTTGATTATGTGTGAGTAGATTCTTTAGGAGGGTGATAGGGATGTAGACTAGGATTTTGGGAATGTGATTTGAATTGGTTGAGTAGGGGATATGAAACTTGATTTGGATAATGTTGATCAACATGATTGAGTCCAGATTAGGAAGTGACAACCTAATCTAGACTTGAGGGGTTGATCAACCAGCCTTTAATTTGAGAAAAGGGGAGAGTGAGATATCTAGGATACCAAGTGTTTGAGTAAATGCCCCTTAGCCATTTACGAGGCATGAGAATGCCCTAAGTTCACTAATTAACTCTCTAAGAGTGTGGAATGAGCTTGGGAAAGGCTTCCTCTCATGGATAATATGACATCTTTCATCTAATCAATTGAATCTTTCCCTTAATCCCGGTTTAATTATGGTTCATATACCTAGTTGAAATTCCTATTTCGCTCCGCCTCTCTCTTTATTGTTACCTTATCCTTTCCTAGTTGCTTTTACTATTGCACTCTCCAAATCTTTACTTGGGCTAGATTTCTATTAGAAGGGTTATTACCTTGTGCTTGAGAAGCAAACTACTCAATTCCTATTGCTAGTCCTTGAGAATAATATCTAGTGTGATGATACCCTCTCAAATAACACTCATCTACAAAACTACTTCATCACTAGTTTTTTCTCGGACAACAATTCTCTCAGGAGCACATATATATATATATATATATATATATATATATATATATATATATATATATATAAAGAAAATTTAAACGTATTTGAGCCTTATCACTTTTGAGATTAATATAAAATTTCAAATTAAACACAAGAAAATAATTTTAAAAGTATAAAGAAGTAAACTGCTTTCCTCTGATTTGGTCATTATATTGTGTGTGGAAAATATGCAATATCATCCAGAATAATTATCTGAACTCCGTATAAATATAATTATGATAATCATATTATCTACCTTTTTCAGTCAGCTAGAAGTTGCTGTCGATTTTTTCTTTTGGAAAGAGAAAAAGTTAACCAGTGGTTTTAAAAATTAAAAGGGACAGAAAGTCAGCAACTGTTGGTGATAGCAGCTTTTTGAAATTTCTAGAAAAAAAAAAAAAAAAAAACGAGAATTAACCAGGCTGGGAGATTGTGAAGTACAATGCACTCCCTAGCTTCATCTCATTTATTTACAAAAGGTTCCATGAGTTTATGGTGTTACGTTAAATCAAGTGTTTATCACCCTAATAAAAGTTATAATTTTTAGTGAATGTGTGTAATACATGTATTTGTTAGTTTTTTTTATCACGATCAGACTCTAATATTACTTATTAAGATTAATTGATTGTTACCACGTCAAAAGTTATAACTCGTTGCGAAGACGTAACTTTATTTTCTTATATTCAGTATATAAATTGTAAACACTCAGCATGTAATTTGTGAACATTTAGTATATATAAAATTGTGAACATTCAGTATGTAAATTGTGTACTTTTGGACCCAGGTTTACCTTGCAAGATAGACCCGGGTTCACAGAACAATTTGACGTCAACCGGAGTCTTGATTTCTGGTCAACAGTTTGCCCTTTAATTGGGCCAAAAAGTCCGGTGCGAACAAACATCAGTATGAGAATGGTACGGACTTAAAAGTGCCTCCTACAGTTAAGGTCTGCTCAAGACACCTCTTAATCTAAAAGAAAAAATAGAAGTCTTGAGTTTTAATATATAGTATATTAGTTGATCTTGTGTGAAAGTGTGAAACATCTCAGGTGAAAAAATTAGGTGTGTAAATGAGCCGAGCGGCTCGCGAGCGGTTTGCGAGCCGCTCGGTCAAAGCTCGGCTCGAGCTCGGTCAAAATCGTGCTCGGTCAAAATATGTCAAAATCGAGCCCGAGCTCGAACAAACGAGCCGTTCGAGCCGAGCTCGAGCATCATTTTTTGAGCTCGACCGAGCTCAAGCGGCTCGAAAAATTGTCGAGCCGAACCATGCTTATCAAGCTCGAGCTCAAGCCAACCCATGCTCTAGCTCGGCTCGGCTCGTTTACACCCCTAGGTGAAACAAGTAATTTTTTTTAGTGAAAATATAATATGTTTCTATAAGTTAATAAGTATTACTTTTTAACTGTAAAATATTACACTTTCAATAATATTTTTCAAGAAAGTAATAAGGAGTAATATTTTTCAATCAAAATTTAACATTTATTGACTCATAGAAAAAAATATTACATTTTCCTTAAACTGTATTATATATTTTTAGATCAATATCATATACGGTTTACTCAAAATGGAGATATTATTATTATTATTAGTTGTCAATTTGGAAATAAATAATATTAAATTAAAATATGACAAAATAGAAAAAAAATAAAAAAGAAATAGAAGTAAAATAATTAAAATTAAATACGTATTTATTTATAACATAACAAGGATTCGAACTCTCAATATATATCTCTTGAGATATAAAAGTGCACAGTAGAGTCATTCACACCAACCAAAATAATTAACAATATGGTTTATTTGATGAAAATATATCATGTACTTTACTACTAGATTAAAGATTACAATTTACAAAGTATAAAGTACATCAACAAATTATTAGGTATAACATTATAAAATTTTTAAATAGATGTACTATATATCTAACTATACAGAGGGTTAATTGCACGTTGTAATTCCTAAAATTTGTAGAAATTGATGAATTAGTCTTTCAATTATAAGAGAGAGAGAAAGAGAGAGAGAGAGAGATAATGTCACATCTAATTATATACCAAAGTCAAAATGCTAATTTGGTTATTCTTGACACAACAATCATTAGTTTCATTTTAAAATTTAATTTGTACAAAATTTGATAATTATTGTAAAAAAAAAAAAAAGTAAAATGACATGAAAATTTAAAATAGGACAAAAACATGTTCATGTGATTCTTAACAAAATCTATCATTTAAGGTTTTAGGTTTGAAGGACCAAGTTCAATTAACATTTTGACATAGAAACATGATGCCGATCGACAATTATACAAATATAAAGAAATAAAATTGTACCATCACAATTAAGTATAACTTTTGGCATAATAGTAAGTACTTTAATTTAATCATAATTGTCACATATAAAAAAAATAAAATTACAACTTGGTTATAAGCTATAACTTTTATCACAATACACATTTAACCCTAACATCAAATTCCACTTGAATTCGTAATTAGAAGTGATATTAGGTTATCCATCCAGTAACTAAGAAAATAATTTGATATTTTGTTTTTCTACCTCGAGACCAATATATTAGGTATTAGTCAATCCCTAGGAACATAAACTATAAACATTGTAAAAACAGTCAGCGTCACTTATTTCACCCACGTTGTAGTTTGTACAAAAACAATTTTCACTCACTAATATAATGCCTGTCTGCATGACTGCATCAGTTGTTAAACCTTCTGTCACCTGCACCCAAAGCCACTCTAGTAGTGGTAAAAACTATGGTATCCTTTACACTCGATCTGCCTTTCACCTACTCACCTCACTAAAAATTTATACATTAAAATTTTTCGAAAAAAATATACTTTTCGTCCCTAAATTATAGGGTAATTGTAGTGCTCATCCCTATATGTTAATCGTGCTCGCCCAGCTCCTTGTCCCAAAACTATAACTAGCATTGCAAATTTCGTTCTTTTTCTAACAGGTCGTGCTCACTTCTCGTCCTTCAGTTATAATCGATATTGTAAATTTCGTTCCTAATGTTTTGTTTAAAAATGGATGAAATTTGCAATGTTTTGGGTATACCCAGGGTTTCCACCGCACCTCCTTTGGGTGGGACAGCTGGTCTGGAGATTTAAGGTTGTTCCATTCCCAAAGCCAAGGATTGAATCATTGGCCTTTGGTTAAGGATGAATGAGTCACTTTCACTCAACTACACCGTACCCCTAGATTGAAATTTGCAATGTTAGTTATGACTTAAAGTCAAAAAATGAGTATGACCAATAAGTAAGGACGAATTATACAATTACCTTATAATTTACGCAAAAAAGTGTATTTTTGCCAAAGTGTATTATGATTAAAACGCATTTACACACGCTTTTTAGTATTAGTAGGAGAAGAGAGAGAGAGAAGATATTGACACTAAAAAGTTATATATATAGAGAGAGAAAAATAAATGTACACCACACACTAATATATACATATACCAAACCATGGGAATGCATTTATGACATTTTTCTCAACCTTTCTAACACTGTGCAGTTAGACTGTCATAAGAAGGAAGAGATGTCATTACACCAACAAAGACAAGAGGAGAGAATATTGGGAGGTAATTAGGAATCGTGAAATTTGCAAGCCCTTCACACAAAAATTTGAACGGCTAAGATAACGTAAATACACAAAAATAAAAGGGTTGAAAGAGAAAACAAAAACCTCACACAGGGACCGAAAGCTAATAATTCCATAACAGAGACTCAAAACTGCTACTATCGTCGTCGTCCGCGCCGCTGCCGAGCCACGGCGGCGGGTACAGCCACCCGTCCACCGAGTCAACGTACACGAACTCGCTCCCCACCTCGGGCGAGTCGAAACTCGTGCCCAGCCTCGGCAGCTCCACGATTTCGCTCAGCTCCTCCGACGTCGCCGGGTCTATCTCCGACGAACACGAGGAGGACGGAGACGGCGACGGAGAAGATACGGGGTCAAATTTCTCCATCGCCGCCGCTTTAGCGGCAGCCACTTGAATGTCCCGCGGCGTGAGCGACGCCGGGCGGGGCAGCGCGGCGGCCAGGTCGGGGAAATTGAGCACGGCGGAATTGCCCTTGATGCTCAGAGCGGCGACGTCGTGTGCCCTGGCCGCCATTTCCGGGTTAGAGAAGGTCCCAAGCCAAATGCGCGATTTCTTCCGGGGCTCCCGGATTTCGGAAACCCATTTTCCCCAGTTCCTCATTCTAACTCCCCGGTACACCGGATGTTTACTGCAACTATTATCCCGGCTTCTCTTCATCGTCATCTTCTTCGGTTCTTCCTTTTCTGCAGACCCCGAGTCAAGAACCGCCCGAGTTGACTCGCAAGCTACTTCTGAGCTTGAACTGCAATCTGGTGGGTCTGAACTCATCTGATCTCTACTGTGATATATATATAGATGGATCAAAAATATATATATATCATGCACTCCCAGACCTGAGTATATAGATATATGGAAGTGTGTATATATATAATATGTTGGTGGTAGAATGAATGAATGAGGGAGGTTGAGCTTGAGCTTGAGCTTCCCTAGGAGTCATGCAACACTTATAATAAGGGGGGAGAGAATGAGAGATGACACTATGACAGATTGTTGTTGTCGTCTTAAATAATTCTGTACGTGAATCTTCTTTCTATTTTTTTTACTTGTATGATTTATACTTTTCTATATTTAAATAATAGTAATATTTAATTAAATACTTAATAAAATTAAGGGAAAATAATATATTTAACTTGTTCAATTTTTTTTTCTTTTTTCTTTTTAAAATGAAGATATTAAAATGGTTTATCACAATTATTGTTAAAAAGTTATTACTCATGCATATATAGTTAACTTTAATGTTGCTCCCTTGACAATTGCTTTTGGTGCTTCGTCCCACAGCGTCTCCAGAAAAGATTGTGGAGTGGTACTTAAATTGAGAGTTGAGACCAAATTTCCGCTCATAAGCTAGCATTTGCTGTGGAATTAGGATCTTGGCTTGAGCGTCATATCATTTGGTGTTCTTGTTGAGAGGTCGGAGAGCTACCTGGTACCTAGAAGAGACCGCCGTGGACGTCAACGTCTTAAGAGTAGTTAATGATACCATCTCATATCGACTCCACTAGAAATTGTCTATGCTATTTAATTGAAAATTAATTAACTTTTTATTCATAATACCTTTTGTTCTATTAATATATGTTTGTTTAATTAAAGTAAGAATTATTTAATTTACACTTTTTGTCCAATGACTATTCCTTTATTTTTACATTTGGTCTTCCAAGCATTATTTTAAATGTCACGTTTGGTGCACTATTTAACAATATAATTTTGTTTTATGGGGTCATATTTGATCTTTCTAACCAAAACTCTAGAAGAAAATAATAAGAATGTTTCACATTTTTATTTGAGAACCATATCACTTTGAACATCTCAACACTTTTGGAGAGAAAACATATGATTTCAAATTTAAAATCTGATGCAATTTGACTATTTTATTTTACAAGGAATGTGGCCAAAAGGATAAATGTTGCAAAAATAAAAAATAAAAATGAGCCCCATAAAAACAATACATATAAATTAAGTAATGAGGTTATAAACGAATATTTTGGGGAGCCTGGAGTGGAAGTGATTCTTAAAATAATTTAAGGAAAATTTCACTTTTCGAACTTAAGTTATATGATAATTGTAGAATATGTCCTTAATTGTTAATCATACATGCTCACCTTTTGTCTCTAAGTTATTATTGATATTGCATTTTTTTGTCTATTTACTAACAAAACATTAGAAACGAAATTACAACTTTAATTTAGTATAACTTAAATGAAAAGTGAGTACATAAATTTAATATAAAGATTAAAAGTACAATGTCAATGATAATTTAAAGAAAAAAAGTGAACGTGATTAATACTTATCTTATAATTTAAGGTCGAAAAGTGTAATTTTTTAAAAAATTGATTACCAAGTAGCAAAGAGTGGGCAGTGGAATAGCAGGGGCGGTGAGGTGGATAAGGGAGGCAAAGAAGAAATGGGTCAATCCTGCAAGACCTATCTTACCTAGCTAGGGACTAGGGTAAATTGGGAAGACAAGGTCCCATTCATTCTTACTCACCCCTCATTTCATTGTCTGCAACACTGCTGCATGTGTTTCTGGTTTCACTCTCTTTTATCCCCTTTATCTTTCACCCACCCTGCAACCCTAACAGGGACGTTTGGTTGAAAGTATAAAAAAATTAAGAAGGAAATGAATTATAATTTTGTTAAAAAATAATAAAGTTGGAATAAAGTATAAATTTAAATTACGTTATATTGTTTGGTATAGAGGAATATAATTATTAAGAACGGAAAGAAAGAATTTGTGTAAAAGATTAAAATATTTTTGTATAGTACTCTTTTCGTTCCATTTTATGTGTCAGATTCGATTTACGAGGCTTAATTAAAGTTATTTTTAATTCAACTTTTCATAATACTAAGTTTAGTACTCTATCTTTCCCATTGATCAAATTAATTCTTTTTCATTGCTTAACTTTTTTTAGTAATTTTTAATTATTTTTAAAATTGAATTTTTTTGTGTTTAATAGTACTTTTAATGTAATTTCAAAATATATAAATTTTATATACTAATATTAAACTTAATATTATGAAAAATTAAATTAAAAATAATTTCAGTCTAGTCTCGTTAATCGAACTAGACAAACAAAATGTGACGGTGGGAGTATTAGTATACAAAATTTATATATTTAGAAATTACATTAAAAGTCATATTAAACACAAAAAATTAAATTTAAAAATAAGTAAAATATACTAAAAAATAATTAAAAAAGAAAGAGTTGATTTGACCAATGAATAGTAAGTAGAACAGATAAAATGAGAAAGAGAGAGTAATAATAAGGGAAAAGGGTCAAATAGACCCTCGAACTTTAGCTTAAAAGTCAATTAAGCCCCTAAACTTTTTAAAGGTGCAATTACACCCATCAACAATTCATTTAGGTGCAATGAAGCCCAAAAACAAGTTAATGACCTGCTATCACAAGTCATTAGGGTTCAGACCACCTTCTGGCGAATTTTCTGGCAAAAAAAGTGACCAGCAACAGACCCATATTTGCCGAAAATTTTGTCAGTCACTTTTTTGTCGCAAATTTCGCCGGTCTTTTTTTTTTTTTTTTTTTTTTTTGCCGGGAAATTCTCTGGAAGGTGGCCTGAACCCTAATGACCTGTGATAGCAGGTCATTAATTTGTTTTTGGACTTCATTGCACTTAAATGAATTGTTGAGGGTGTAATTGCACCTCTAAAAAGTTTAGGGGCCTAATTGACTTTTAAGCTAAAGTTCGAGGGCCTATTTGACCATTTTCCCTAATAATAATAATAATGGGCGAAAGTGTCTTTTTCTCCTTTTTCCTTTCCTTTCCCTGGCTAAATTCCAATTAATGATGGAGGGGAGGAGATGGGCTATGCATTAATTCTAATTCATTGAATTGGAAAAATTGGCAATCCAATAGGGTAGTTTAAGTGACAAATGAGCTTTCTTTGTGAGGAAGAATTTTGGAGTAACTCGGGTTTGGTTCCTACAAGTGACGATTCTCTTTGAGCCAGTTTTTGTGCTTCCTGGAGTGAACCGGGTGGTCCGGACCACAATGTGGTTTACACCAAAACATTGAAAAAATTGACAATTCCATTGAATTGCAATTCTCTCTAACCAAACAATGTACTTTTACAATTCATGAAATTACATTAGTAAAAAATTTCAATTCATACCAACCAAACACTCCATTAAAGTATACTCAAAGTCTAAGATAATTATTAAATTATTATAATATTTTTTTTCTTATTACTTCAGAGACATTGATCTTCCGAAGTCAACAACTAGGATGAGTTCTCATTTTCTCCTAAGCATCAGTTGTCACTTGAGTATGTTCCTATATATATAAGTATAAAATAAATTATACATAATTCCTAATGATTTTGAAAAGTTAGTAGAATTTAAAATATTTTTTTTAATATGCGATTATGAGAGAAAATTTTATTGAATAGTAATCTCAAAACTCAAAAGCTTACAAAAAAGTACCTGTCACCTTAAAAAGGAACGAAATATCGATTTGATCATTATGTTTTTACTTCAAATAAATTTTGTATTTTTTTTTTGGGTGTCAAATTTAAGTATATCTTATACGGAGTACTAGTTTTTGACAAGTTACGTTGCTAAACTGTTAAAATGTGTTTGTTTTTCTGTTAATTTAATTTAATATTAAATTATGCTAGAGATCTTTACAAAAATTACTATAATTTTACGAATTTTTAATAGGTTGAGATTTAAAATAAAAAAATCATAAACAAACTGCTTACTACATAAAAAAAAAAAAGAAGGTAAAATGTAGTGAATTTTGTAGGGTGAAAACATTTTCCTTCAAATACTTTTGATCTGATCCTACTACATAAGCTATTAATCCACAATATGCTAAGGAGGAATTAAACTATTAAAAAAGAAAAAGAAAACAAATGACTTAAATATAAAATTTGCCCCTAATTTATATTTGTGAATCAATTTTTGTATTATCTTGTTTTTCAATCAATTTAAATTTTTGCAAGTTAAATTCATTCAATTTATGGAAAAATATGCATTTGGTACATGAATGTGCGTTTTTTGTGAAACTCGTCGTTTAGTGCTAGTCGGCAAAAGATCATAAAGACATGACAAATTATTGTGTGGACCATGGTCCACATTGTGTTGTATGCACCATAAAAGAAAGTATATTTTTAATATACTAAAAGTATATTATTTATGTACTGAATGTACATTATATAAAATAATGCACTTTTAGTATTCAAATAATGTACTTTCTCCAAATACAAAGTACATTTTTAATATACTAAAAGTACATTATTTTTTACCTAAATGTACATTATTTTATAACATACAAAATATGATCAACACCATAATGATTGTAAAGACATAAATCAATCTAAATTATTTATAACTTTATTCGATTTACTTGATATGGCAATATTTTCCCCTTATGTTAATTTATCTTTAAAAAAAAAAATTGAATATGCCACAAAGACGATTAACCCTACGACCTATAAGAGAAATTAACCATAAAAATATTTATCTAGTCAATTGTTCTTTCACAAATAAAATTTATTTATTTTATTAATTAATTGCTCCTTCACACGTAGTGGATCAATTGTTTATGTACACATGGTAGTCCCAGGTCAAATTGTAAAAATGTGTTAAATTGACAGAAAACATCGTCATAATATCTATGAAGTCTATGTACTATAGTATTTTGTTTAATTTAGTCTTTGTATCTTTATTTTGTTTAATTTAGTCTCTGAACTCTATTTTAAAAAGTGGTAAAACTAAGGACAATTGTCTAAATCTCAATAGAAATATGGTTGTAATTATTTATTTTGGACATACTAATTTAATATACTGGTGGTAAAAATAATTAATTTTAAATATTTATAAATTAATATATGAGTAAAGATATAAATATCGTCAGCACCACATAACTTAAGTTAACGGTAATATTAACACCGTTAACTATTGTCCTTAATTACACCACTTTTGAAAGTACAATGACTAAATTGAACAAAATAAAGATATAAGGACTAA